GGAGTGACCAGCCCCAATCCGAGACACTCACTCCCGACCATACTGACGCTTTCGGAGGCGGCAACTTCCGGATTGTAAACGACAATTAAATCTGTATGCCAAGTTAGATAAAGCTTGGTATTGAAGAACTCGAGAAACCTCTTGTTTCCTTTAGAACCTTGAGTGAGCCGATTTGTATCAGGATGTGCACTGCTACGGGACTTTGTGAACCGGACAAAAATACTTTCTTTTTTATTACACACTTTTGTGCGATGAACAGTGGACGGGGAAAGCCCCGTAGTCATGAGGACTTGTTTTTCAGTAATGGAAACCGGTAATCTAACCCCCGGGGCTTGGAGTGGTGAACCATATAAGGCCCCGATAGGTTAGGTGTGGTATTGGACCGGACGACAACAAAGCTGCCTACTACCAAAGTTGGGTGGCGGTGGCGGGGCTCGAACCTCGGACCATATGATCCAAAGCACACCTGTGATNACTAAACCACTGCGCCACCCCCAACCTAATGGTGATGATGTTTTGCAAAAGGATTAGAAACTCCTCATCCGTGATTCTTAAGCGGTCTGAGTCCGTCTGGTTTTACTCTGATGTTTGATCATATGGTTCTCCTCATATCTATCAATGTTCTCTCAAAGCTGCACTCTGCCTTCTATTGAACAAATGCCACACACCTATAGTTTTAGATCAATATGACCTTTACTACTCACTAGTGCCAGTTATCATTTTGATCGCTGCGACATTTGCCGGGCACATGAAGCCAAGCTTTCGTTCGACTCTTTTAAGGGAAGGACACTATAGGTGACGACGCCAATGGGTGATCCCTCCTTCGTGCATCTCGACGCTGGTTGTTACTTAAATTTCTGAGTTAGCCACAGAATAATGGGTATCACTTCTACNTCTACAAGCACTGAGGGTTTCACGTCGGCTGCCAATTTCAGTGAACAGGCGAAAGTGACTTCTCTCTCGCTCGCATCGACTCACTAATCCTCTCTTTTTTGCATTTCTCTCCTAGTCCAAATGTCCTACCTCACCAAATCGGTTGAACGTCCACAACACTCATCGTCCTCAACGATCCTCTTCCCAACCGGATTTACTCGCTCTCGACATGCTGGCCGGAACAATGCGAGGGCATGGGACCTCTGCTTTCCATTCTACCATGGACAATATGCCTTACAGCAACTCCGTTGGTGCTGGGGCCGGTTCAACTGCACGGGATCAGAATTGGTCCGTGATACGTGTTTGGCGCGCCGGTGATGCCGGAAGGGATCAAACAAGTAAGCTGGTTCTCTTGCCCCGGAAACAGACCAATGCAATGGAAGCGACTCGTTTGGCGTTGGAAGAATTTGGTTTATCAGAAGATGAACTGGAATCCTATTGCCTCTATCATGTGAGTATCTACTCGATTGTGATCTTCGTTGATTTAAAACGGTACTTTATATGTTGACTGACCACACACACACTTTTCCCACCGCATTGTACTCGGAAATCACCAAACTGTTTCTGAAGCGCATGGTTTCGCAGATTTTTTTCGGCAATTGCGGTCGCCCATTGGAGCATGTGCTTGACCTCGATAAATTAGGTTGGTTGAGTCATGACACCAAATAGGCTACCATCGCGTTCGATATTTGTCGAGGTAGGTGGTGGGTGGAAATGGACAAGGATGGTTAAACGAAATGGAAATGAAATCCCTGACCAGGAGACTTGATCATATAAAATCGCGTTAGGTTCCCTGTATAATGGCTACATGATCATTGTAGTGGATGATTAGAAACACTGAGTGATGAATGAGTGTAGTGAACAGTGTAACTCCTGCATCTACTCTAGATCGTTGCAACCCTAGTCTACCTGAATTATCTATCTTCACAATGTCACCGCTTCATACTTTCTAGTTCGTCTGCTTCATCCAAATAGGCCGTCAGAAGACAGCAACCACAGCTGCCTCATAAAATGCATGGTTTATGTTTATATAAGCTGAACTGAACTGCAAAATCAGGAATGGTGTATATCCGCTGTCCCTAATAGGCTTTGGAACTTCGATCTCAGGAGTGTGTTTCACTATTGTGTCACCCTAGTGGCTGATGGTAATTATTGGTTGAAGATTGTTCACACCTTATCTTCGCAGGTAGTTAGTTAATGGTTAATTGATATCTTCCAAGAGAAGATACCGAAGATATTCTGTTAACTCCCATTACCTAACTTGCACTTAAGTAGGAAAAATCGGTATTATCGATTTCGATTATCAGATCTTGCATCCGATATTCGAGGGTACGGGGCAGGAGGGATAGGACAAAGTTGCAATACCGCAGTATTTGTTTTGCGATCCACATTATTTTCATGTGTTAGTTCCCCATGGGCTTCAAATTTGTCTAGACCTATGATCCGGTCAAAAGCTGTTTTTCTCCGCCCTGCTATCATCTTGATTACCTTCGAATTTTGCTCCGAGTTATAAAAACGGACAATTTTTACCTATGCTCACAGTAGAGACAAACGGAACAATCCGTATGTTTGACCATGGTGCGAGAGCGTGAATCTTTCTAACGATATCGAATGTTACCGTCATTGTTTTGTGACCACGAAAAATAGCTTTGACCAACTGTTCTATTCGTGGTCGGTAGTCATCAATCGTACTTCTGAGTGACGGGTGGAATCACTTTCTTCTTCAAGGACAAACAATCGATGGCAATCCTCGTAACTGCATGGTTTAATTTTGATCGGATCATGCTACTTCACGGGTATCAATCACTAATTCGGACTGTTTTTTGTGTGATGCATGCTATTCTTCTTAGAATAAATGTTTACTGTACTCCCTTCAGTTCATCTAGTCACTCGTCTTACTGCCTGCATCGCCAAGACAGCATCTAAAACAATACTCATCAAGAGCCTCAGTAATTTTTGAGAAATAACGAAAACGCTCTGCTCTTTCTCATCACTCGTCACACTCTTGATTGTTCTCTTATTAATCTCCTCCTCTTTTCGTCCTCTCACTCAATCATCACTTCAGGTTACTGTGGAATCCGGCCCGATTGTGAAACAGAGTCGCTTGGCCAATACAACAGACGATTTACCCGGTCGGTTAACCTTGAACGCTCGCTATTACCTCAAACACAATCGTTATCACGATCCGCTGGTGGCTGACGATGTGGCTCGTAACATTCTTACGGAAAGTCGTGTGACCTTCATGCAAGTAAGTAGCCTGTTTGTCCTGTGAGAACGGGACTAGGATGCAACACATGTATGTTTGCGGTTGAACAGTGTAAACTTCAAGATGAAGATTACTGTTCGTATTCTTAGAATTTGTTTGTCATGGTGGGCAAGTTATCCGCCCAGTTGTTTTCTCATAAAATAACAATTACATGTTTCTTTTTAACTGGCGATAATTTGTGTCCTTATCAGAAAACGAACGGCGAACCTGGGACTTCAAACCATTACCTCTGAGCTATACGGTCGCATTCAACTAGTGGGGGAATCAACTATCTCCCAAGGAGTGAAACCCAACACCCAAGACCATTTACAGTGCCTGATGCCTTTTAACTATCGAATGGGCTAATCCCAACTGGATTCGCTGCTATTTCGTTTCCTGGAGGCGAGATGGTGATGTATTTGGAACACACAACAGATACGGAAACCTATATAACCGCATTTATGATAGAATTACTAAAAGAATAGATGATTCACTGTATCATAAATTATCAAACTTTCAGCGAAAATGGTATATCGTACGAGAGTTGAAAAAAAACTGAGCAGGTGAGAAAGAGGGTCTTCCAAATGAGTACTGGAGGCTTAAAGGACACAACACGCTTCTTACTTGCCCACACGGACAAAGGGTTTTTTTCTGTAAACCCATACCGGACTGTTTGATACGAAGTTGTTCCCACAAACGGAAGTGGAGCGTAGATCAAATACAAAACCGTGATTGAAGCATTTGTGTGTGGGAGCTTTTACAAATCTGTCACGGGTTTTGGTTGTGTGAGTGTCCTCGTTGCTTTTGCATCGGTTATCAGTCCTCCATTGAAGATCGTCCTCCAGCCTCTTGGACCCAAATTGCACAGATATTCAAAAAACGTAAACCATCACACCGCTCCATCATCCACCTTCTACTCGGACAATTCCACCGCGCATTCATTTTGCACGTACACTGTAGTGCAGGTCTGATTAGCCGTTCCGCGAGTCTGACAATGCGGATCGATCATTTGGTTCCTGCACAGTTTTGCCACCGGGTTCGCGTTGATCACGCTCTTACACAGATTCTGAAAAGGTCCACACTCAGAGCCTATTGTCCTCCTCACTAACAGGCATCTATATCGTGTTCGAGCGCAGTCGGACACACGCAGATTGTTTTTTGTGGTCTGTTGAATTAATCTGCGACGTGTCGCTCCTAATTCCAAGTTTCAGGGACTAGGATTCTGGTTACCTTCATGTGGCAGCTGATTTCTATATTCACGCTACTCACTTCCTCTGACGAGCGTGTGTGTGTGCTACGCAAGAACAACTCAGTGATCTGGTCCAACCATTGCTAATTCTGTGTCACACTCTGTGGAAACCGCACTATACGATCCATTCTCATTGGAAACACAGACGCATACGCATATAAAGCGTACTGAATTCGATCTTTCGCGGTTTTCCGGAGGAAAACCTCATTCCCCAAGGCTAATTCATTCGCACAATGTGCCCGTCACACGTACGAGCACGCATACAACCATTCGTCATGGGTTTCCAGCCAAGTCGTACTTCTTGTTGAACAACTCTTCTTCCCTGATCTGAGCGCTTTCCTCTGACGTAACAAGTTGACTGACTGGTTAACAATGACAGCTTTGTGAAACTTCCCTTTATTTGTTTATTTATTTTGTTCATACACATTTATTTGGTTTTTGTTCGCTTTTCGTTTCAAAACCCTGAACGGAACCGCCCTGTACGTCTACATGACCTTTTGTTTTTCGGGAAAGAAAAATTGAAATAAGAATGTAAACAGACATTCATGAGAGCTGTTTTGGTGCCGCTGTTACCTACACGGACGGGAACCCGATTGTATTCTGTGCGTGCGTTTCGAGTCGCGTCCTCACACGTAACTCCAGATCTCACGAACTGGTTCGATTGAAATGCTGGGATTGTTGTGCTTAGATCACACAACGTGCTCCACAAAACTCGCTGATATTTCTCTCTCTCTCTCCCTCTGGTGGCTTTGGATCACACAACCACGAGAGTTTGTATTACGACTGGACAAACTGTGACTGAGAACAGAACTTAGCTTTCACCAACCAAATAACCCATTTCGGAAAGCCGCTTAGTCTCGCTCGAACGGGGACTAGCTGATGAGTTTCGTCGTGTACAGAACGAAGAAATTGAGAGCTGAAAAACTAGCAAGCAGTGTGCAGCTTTTTCTCAGTAAGGCGAATCCATGAACCGAACCGGTGATCGCGGACCCGGGATCTAACTGGTAGAATGCAAGCATACTACTACTCCTTTGAAAACGAGGGAGTTAATCAAATTGTATTCTTTTGTCTATGCATGATATAGCACAACCCTGCTTTACATACTCGTTTCATACATTTCCCCTCATTTATTTTGAAGGTAACCACCATAAATTATGACTCGATCGAAAGCACTTCAAACCTGACTAGTTGTTACAACACAAGAGTGGTGCGGGAGTTAATTCGAGTATTTCAGCAATTTTCGCACGACTGTGCTCTCATAGCCGTCAAGCGCTACGCATCAGTATTTAATGTCGATCGGTCCATCCTCGATGAATTTCTATTCTCAATGCATGAGCAATGAGCAGACAGTATGTTCCATTGATGACAGGGATCCGTCTACTGCTCGTTCCTTCGATTACAACAATCGCTAAGTCGTGTTCGATGATATTGTTTGTTTGTTTGATTACAATAACATGAAATTGTATACTGAAAAAGTTGAGCCTACTCGGGTTGTTTTCAGTATTTTAACCTTTCTGATGGGACTCTAGGTTGCTCTCTTGACCGACTGTTGAAATTCTTGACTTTGTTTTCGTGAGTGTATCATTTTGGAATCAGGTTTCGGGAAGGGGTATGGATCCCTGAAACGGAGAAGCACAACTGAGTGTACTGAACCAGTCTCCAGGTCGCCGCATTGATTATCCGTGAATAAATGAGTCCCATCTCTTCAGTAAGCGGTCGCGGATGATTATCGGGGGTATTTGAGGGTGTGGCGGATTATCGCTTCGCTAGTGATCTCCCCATAAAGCTCACGAATCAGATGACAGAACTCCGTGCGCTAGTATACCCCTCCACTGTATAAACTCCAACTTTTTTCTCCGTCATTGACAATAGGGCAAGGTGTTTCGAAGAGCGTATGAACCAAACAACGGTCACCGATCTTTTCAGTCCTCGTGAGCATGTTGAATGTCCTGGGTCGGTAACCAACCCGATAGGCGTATGAACTATAGACGTGGTCACTAGCTGTCAACAAATACACAGTCCTGCAGCTGTCACCTGGATGTGCAAGAGCGAGAGGTGTGACCTCGAACAAAGACCTGACGATTCTGGGGATAACATTTGGTGCCACATTCGCAAGATACTTCATAGTGTCCCTGGAGAACAACGCTATCTGTGTTCTCCCAATGACCGCTTTGTCCAATAAGCTAGCTGGGCAAACAAAAACCAGTAAAGCTCTCCAGGTTCCCTGTTGGAGCATCAAAACTCTGCTAAACACAGGAAGCTGGTGTATTAGTGTGCCCTCCTTGTGCAGTTACAAGGCAGACTTAGCGTGAATGCCAGAGCCACGACTCCGTAAATCTGGCTTACGAAGAAATAATGTCTCTTAGGTAAACCAAACCTACAGTGGACCAACTGACAACTCCGGACTATGTGGAGAGTTGCTCTAGCTGTGAAACACCGTGCTACCAATACAATGGTCGTCTGGGAATCCACCTTTCCTAGAATCGCAGTGGCGCGCTTCAGGGGAGAGTCGGTAGACTTGACGGTTATAGCCGTCTACCCCTCCTCAACAGTATCGGCCGACTACTCTACCAAGAATGTATTCTACTACCAGCTCCAAACTGTTATCAACCGTACACCTTAACGCAACATCCTTCGCATCACAGGGTATTGGACCGCTCCATGATAACACTCTGTCCTTCCATGGGAGATTTCGTGTTAGCCGTCCGTGTGAGAGTGGCGATTTCCTTGTCACGTTTCTGTCTCCAATTGGTTGGTTGTTTGGCACATTCGCTTTCCCCACCCGAGGAAACATTTGTTGACGTGGTATTCATACGTCGGAAGAACAGTGCATCAGATCGACTTTATTCTAGTACAATCCCACTAGGAATGCAAGTGGTGTGTGTCCTATTTGCTAGATCCATCTGAAACCTCGACAGTATCCTTGCCTCGTGATTAGATTCAATGACGCAGGTTCTGTCACATGCAATGCCTAGCATGAATATGCAAGCCAGGGACTCCCGGTGCACAACAATTGGTTCATGTGTCCAGAAAGCTGCGCCGGAATATCTAGAAACAGGATACCCGCGGAAATCTACTTAAAGTGCTCTCCAGCCATTTAAAATCCCCTACATAGCTTACTGTGTGCAATTTGGTAAACTGAAAATTGTCCAACAGATTGGACCATATCTATTTTACAACCTTTATCTATAAAAGGTAAGAAGTCACTGCTGGAAAACTCCAGAGTCATCAGCTTATTAGTCGTGGCAGCCAAGGTTTTTGCACAACTCTTGCTGAACCGCTTTACAGGAACTAGACACACACGCTTCCATCTTAACCAAAAGAGATTTCACCCCGATGTGGGTCACGTTAACCAAATAATCACCATGTGTCTCCTCCTGGAACATCACCACAAGTTCTAACAACCCACAACAGTCTGCGTCATATGTTTTCGTGCAGCATTCGATTCCGTAGATCGCAAGACCTTTTGGAATATAGTCTTAGCTGAGATTGCGTTAGTCAAGTTTGTCAACTGACATTCTACTACTCTAACTCTAGGGCTCGAATCCGCATCTATGACGAGGAGCCGCCTGCGTTCGAGGTAAGATCTGAAGGACGACAGGGGTGTGCATTGTCCCTAATGCTGTTCAGCTTTGCCGTTGACCGGATAATGGGTCGTTCCACGGAAGGAGTTTAGATTTCTCCAAACTTCTGGCTTAGGATTTGCTGATGGCACCGTCTTGTTTGGTTGGGC